CATCAGTCCTGGTGCTAGAGAGTAAGAGAACCAGATGGGCAATAGGATAATGCCAGTGTCACCTGAGAATAGTTCAAGCTTTTGTGTGATGTTACTGAATGCTGTTGGTGTTACTATACCATTTGGGAAGGATTAGTTGTGACAGAACCTACCAGAAGATAGTAGTGGAAATACAAAGTGCGAAGAAAGCTACATTTTGTGTAGTATACCTTATTTCTGTCAAGGTAGCCAGAATCAACTATTTTATAGGCTAAAAATCCCCTCCATCACCCTATATAAGCTGTGTTCTTATCACAAACAGTCTGCCCATGGATTGTACTGGAAATGCTTTGTACCTGTGCTAACAGTTCTGGAAATGGAGTTGTGCCTATTTTGTTATTAAGGCCTAGTCTAAATAACTTTGGATTTGGTAAAGTTATTCAGCGCATAGGTGGTTTACTGTTCAGTTAGCTTTGCCATTCTACTGGCGTGGATGTAGCTAGCCAACTAGTGATGCTGTTGTGGCTGTGATGGTACATGGACACAGGCAAGGCAAAGTTTGTAGATTGAGACAGTATCTCTTACAAGACTTTTCAGGCATTCAAGCCCTTCATTAAACATTAATGAATGTTCTGAGAAACGATGTAGCCTGAAATTTTCATGATGACCTTTTGTTCTTTTGATAACTAAGCTCTGTTAGGGAGAAGGAACTCATCTTATGAAGATTTGTCCAGTGTGTATACATTGCTTATACTGGTTTAATGAATGCTTTGAAGAGGATTAGCAAGGAAAGAGCACACAGTGGATGCCATTGCCTTCCTGAACAGGAAAGTTTCTGTCAGAAGAGCTGTTGCAATTTTCATTCTTCTTCCAAATACCAGCTACAGACAGAATGAAATACCTTTGAAGGGATCACTCTTGTGCTGCTTATAGGAGGAACATACGAAGAAGAGTTGAATGCTGGAGAGATTGCTTTGCTTAGGCGTAGTGGGAGGTAGTCTGACCATCCGGGACTGTGTTTTATCCTAAAAAGGGAGTGACAGATCTCTTAAATTTAACTACAGACACTACCCTTGGTGTGCTTGCTTTGTTTTGCTACCCTGTGGCATTGTTTAGCTTAGGTAGAAAACCAGTCCTCATGCCAGGTGAATTCTGGGAGGTTAGAAGGGCTGTATCACTTATCCAGGGGAATATCCAGGAAGATCATACAAAGAATAGTAGCATCATCCTGTGATGCTTAAGTTTGTGTAACTACTCTTTCCTTGTCATCTTGAGGAGAGCAGCAGTGTCCTAAATATGCTGTAATTGTGGATGTTGACTCCTCTGACATTGCACAGTTGCGGTGAACTGCTGATTCTGTTTTCAGAAAGATGACGAGTGTCTGTTTACAGCCTGAAACTGGCACTGACTCTCCTCGCTGTGGGGTTGACTTCTGAACTGGGGTGGAGTGAGCAACCGGGAGTGAAGACCACTTAGGCTATTGTAGGTTGTGTGGTGGCAGCAGCATATTAAGTCGACTAATGGAGTGCTACATTTTGTGTTTATAGGCTGTGTTTAGAACTATGATAGTATTAAATTGGTAAGTCCTTTCTAAAAGCTGACTTAGCCTTTGGAAGTTTTCTATATTAAAAAAAAAAGCAAACAACCCAACAAACCAAACTCTGTAGATGCTTTTCTCAGCCAATTTTAAACACAGCAGGTACTCACGGATTGATCTAGATGTTGATATTATGCTTATTATATATGCAATCATTAAGCAGATTTTAAGTTGTACATGGCAACTTCCTCTTTAAATAGAAGCTAATTTTAATAAAAGCTTTAATTTGTTGCATGCTACAAAAAGTTAAAGGACTTTTATATATAAGATTTATAATCTCAGTGAAACACAAAACAGTCTCTTCCAAAAGCTCAAGTGTTCTATAGCTTTCCATTTTCTAGTTTTTGTTTTCATGAACTGCTTAGTCTTATAGACAGAATGGGGCAATAAATCTCTTAAAATGTTTCAACCATCGTCTTCTGGCTAGATGCTACTGACCATACCTAGACTTCGTATTTTCTTAGGAAAAGGTCATCCTAGTCACTCAAACCCTTCACTGAACTGTGGAGTCATAGAAACTTTATAATAGAAATTAAAGACCATCTATGCCTTTCCTGTTCATAATCTCAGACTGCTTTCTTTCACTTGAGAACAAATAGTTCTGGCTATTAACACTTTTCTGTTGGCAACTACATGTTGCATTCAGGCACGTGTTTTTGGCTTTTGTAGTACATTTTTAAAAAGGACTAAAAACCAGTGGCGATGCTTTTGGACTATCTTTTGGCTTGCTTACCTTTGCATGCTCAGTAAGGGCAAACATATTTAGCACTAAAAGGATCCTGCATGAAGGACAACATGGAAAAATCTTAGTTCATTGAGCAATTCCACTGTAATTTCAAGAAACGACGACTTCTTTTTATGCAGAGCTCTAAAGCTCAACTCCACTGCTGAATGCAAATCTTGCTCACTGGAGGTGAAATGCATGTTTTATTTTTAACCTTAGTGATTGCTTGGCAGCCAGTGTTAGTGAAGTAAATCTTCAAGGCCTGATTTAAGAAGTCTCTTGGCATTCTTGTATCTTCTTGTATTAGAAGAACCTTTCGCAGGCATCTTGGCCAAACGTGGTTAAGCCTGTTGTGTTGGTTGTTACTGTGTCTCTTTGAGCATTGCTCCCACAATGTCATAGAGGTGATGTAAGGACATGCTCTTAGGCAATATAGCAGGTAATGCAGCACACAATGGCAATTCTATTGCTTAAAGCTGGTAGAAAGAAAAACTAGTAAAACTTGCTGGTTAAATGTCTAATGCAAATTGAACAATCTGTGAAACTAACTATGGCTGTTTCAACTAACTATCTGTTTGAAATGTTGCGTGGAGTATCAGGGAGGGGTATGTGTATGTGTGTTTGTAACTGTTTACAAACAGCTGCTCTGCTTACTTGCATTTTTTTGGTTTTAGCTACAGCTTCAAATTGGTACTGTGTACTGTACTGAAATTAGTCTCTTATAAGTTGCCTTTTAAATTAAGACACCCAATAAGTTTCATTTCAAACAGTAGTTCTTCTGTTGCACACTCTTTTCTTTCTTCCCTAGATCAGTTTTGCCAAATGGCAATGTGACGATGTCTTCATGTTTCTCACATAAAAATAGATTTGTGAATTGGCTGCTTGAAATACAACAAAACCAGTCAAGATTTCAGTTGTTCTGTGGCTTTCTAAATACTTGTTCTTAAAATCCCCTTGCTCAACTTCTTCATTGGGCTTCCTGTGTAATGCTGTTAAACCTTGGCTTAATTCTCATGGGGTGATAGTCCTGTGGCTCTTGTGTTTACCAAGTAAACAGCTGTGGCCTGTTACTTCTCAGATGGAGGTTACTGACCCTGTAGTGGAGTTGGCAGGAAGGTACCAACTTCTTTCCTTTGGTACCAACCAAAGAATACTAACTGCTCTGCTGTCAGATTGTAAACTTACCTTCTTGGGTGATTAAAGCAGTGTGCCATACTGAACTTGGACAACTGAGGTATCATTTAGTTCTGCACAGTCTGTAACCTGCTCATTAGCAGCTCTCTCCTCTGGGGATTGCCAGGCAGCTGAGGGGATATAGTATTACAAACCGCTGCAGTAAAATTAACTATAGCACATTTGTCAGAGCTGAGAATTGTCTTGCAGTGATCATATGTAAATGAGATTAGTCCCTGAAAGGAAGGAGTACATTATTTATTGGCTTTTTGGAGGTGACATTTTATTACAAGACTGCCAATATCAGTCCCCCATCTTATATTTTTAATTTGCCTTCCTACATTATGACAAAGTTCAGCATCTTTTATTGGGCACTAAAATTCCAATCTAATTATGCACCCTGGCAAGTTAAAACTTGTTAGATAGGTGTGACAACACATAACATTAAGATAACCCAAGTACTTAGATGCTACAGTAACAGAATGACACCAAGTGATTAGTACAAAACGAACAGATCTCATTCAAAGTGATTCTGAAGCTTCAGCTGAGCGCTAATTCGTTCTGATGGCTTCTGGCACTCATTTCAAAGTGCTCTGGCTGTTATGCCTCCCAAGGCAACCAGTGTCAAACAGGTATCTCTTGACTGGATATTGAAGTGACCACCACACAGTGATGTACAAGATAAATAGGTAACCAATAATACTCAGATGAACAGGTTGTCATTAGGTAATTTTCTGCAAATTTAATTAATCTTTAGCATCTTGAGTTAAGTTTACCCCAAATCCTTTTTGCAGTGTTATAAGTGTAAAATATAGTTCCTTTTCTGAGTAGAAAGCGTGGGTTATGGTTTTCTGGGGGAATTACCTGTTTCTGATTGCTGTGATGGAATGAATGGTGTTTAAATCTGTCTGGTCTAATTCCTTATACAACTAAAGGTACAGACCTACTGCTAGCAGTAATTGTGAACATGTTAATTTAAGCAAGGGAAACATAATCACTATGTGTACTACTGCCCTTCTTGCAGTCTGTCTGAAGTTAGTTGCTGGCTTGAGCTCTGCTTGCTTGCTAGCTACTACCCAAGCAGCTGTACCAGTGCTTAGTGTCCTAGTTTTAGTGAAACGTAGCCCAGATGATTTGAAATGAGCTTCATACCCACAAAAAGCTGATAATTATAGAGCGTCTGTGATAAATAGTTTATTTGTAAATAGTATTAACAGCCCAGAATTTGCAACTTTGTAAAAATAAAAATAATATTTTATAAAAACACCACTGTGCTTTTGTGAATTTACTGTTTTATGGAGCTCTCATTCTGTCATCTTTCAAAGTTGCGTTTAACTTGTGTTAGGATACGAAAGTATTAGTTGTCACAAGATGAGAATTCATTGTCCAGCAGTGTAGCAGTCTATATAGTTGATCCTGTGGGAGTTTGGGCACATATAAAAGCAGTTGTCACAGCTGTTTGGTAGCTTTTAAGCATGCTTTTCTTCCAACCAACTCTTACACTCTTCTTTTTAACTTGAGTTTAGTTATACAAACTGTTTGTTTTTCAGAGCCAGCGCATAATCAGCCAAACCGAACCAAGAGGAAGCAGAATATTTGAGAAGGCTCCCAGCATCTCATGAATGAACTAACGGAACTCGATAATGCTGGTTCTCCAGAGCCAGGTCTACGGCTCAGAAAAGGACACATGTCTGACACTGCAACAACACAGGCAGCCTTTGAAGAGGACAGCTCTGAGCAGAGGCTTCTTTTAGTGGAGCCACGTCTGTCTTCTGACCAGGAAAATGTAAGTTACATGATTATCTGTTAGGTTTGCTATGAAAAATGGGTTTTGACATAAGTGCTTTAGTGCTTGAAATAAGTTCCAGAAATGTGAACCGTGAGCCTACAACCTCTTTATGCCTGCTAAATAATTGTAATAAACCCAGGAAGATGCCAGAAATATTCAGTTGAATATATGGGAACTTGGGTGACAAGGTGGGGCATAAGTGCAAGTTTACCAGCTTTATATTTTTTATTCCCTCCTCAAAGAAATGGGACTCGTACTGGTTTGTCCTCTGCTGAGATGCTGCTTATATCAAAATATTCTTGTTCTGTAACTTCCAATTAGTTATAAGTGAAAGGAGAAGATACATATTGACTCTGGCTGAATGTAATCTAATTGCTGTCGTCTTAGAGATTAGGACAGAAAAATCTGTTTGCAGGCATTCTTGTTGGAAGAATGGCCATACTGAATTAGACCAAACATCCACAGTGCATAATATCCTATCTCAGACAGTAGCCAGTAGCAGACTCATAAGGAAGAGTACAAGGATGGGGAAGCACGTTGTGTTACTTCCCTAGGACACTCTCCCAGCCTTTAGTAATTGGTGGCTCACAGATTTCTTGAGCCAGTGGCAATGTTTTTGAATTTTTGGTGCATGAGCCTTTGTAAATTTTAGCAGCCACAACATCCTGCGGAAAGGCGTTCCACAGCTTAATTAGGTGTTGTATGCAGGTAATGTCTCCAAGCATTGGACAAAAGTACCTTCTGGTTAGAGAGTTTCAGAACTGTAATTAATGCTTCTCCCAGGATATATACAGATGGGTATCAGCACAGTTAAGAGGAAGAGGCATTCAGCTTAGGCTCACTATTAAATTTATCACGGCTTAATGAGTTTACTGTATCAGCTCAGTTACAGCAACTGTGTGGTTTTAGCCAGCAGCAAAAACATGCTGATGCTACTTAACGTAGCCTTCAATGCAGGAGAGTTGGGCTGTTGCTGTAATTGCATTGGCCACAGATTCTGGGTGTGTGCATGGACCACTATCATGGTTCAGCTGACATGAGAACCTGTATTAGGCTATCTTAACTTGATTAGTTTGAGCCCTTACTGAATTTAGTTTCAAGTGTCCTTGTAATGAGAAGTCAGAACAGGTATTCATGGCTAATAAGCCAAACCAATGCACTGTAAGCTGTACACTGCTAAAACTTCTATAGGACATTCTCAGTATCATCGTAACAGGAAATACCCATGGTCTTTTTCTTTGTGTTATGTGGAAGGTCATAAAGCGTGTGTATAACGTGCAAAGTGTTAGCCAATAGCTGAATGTGCTAAGGTTAGAAAAAAGAAAAGTTGAGTTGTACTAGCAGATATTTTGAACATACGTATGTTTATCTGACAATGTGTTTGGAATCATCTTTTTTGAAGGCTGTTTTCATTCTTGTCTCTGACTTTTCCTGGTTGAATAATGTGAGTTACCTGTTATCTGCAGATGGAATAGCCCAAAGTAAAAGCCCATAACTGATTATGGCCTATAATTCTTTCTGTACATTTGCTTAGATAAATAGAAATTATTTGGATAAGTCAAAGTGTTTAATTTTAGAATTTTGGAAATAAAATGGTTAAATACTCTCATTCTCTCTTCTGCTTTTTCAAGCATTCTTAGCATGTGTTAGTCCTTTTTTTGCGTGTGTGTGTGTGTGTGTTTTCTTTCATCCTTATGACGAAAGTATGTGTTTCTTTTGCTTTGGCTCACTACAAATATTTAGCTGTTTTGTATTTCATGTCTTCTCTCTTTCCCAGTCTCCTAAAATGCTGCCACAGAAATTTTTGTTTTTTCCATTTGGGCCTTGCTGTTCTGTCTTGAACTGCATCGCTTTCTCTGCCTTATATGGCCTCCTGCTTTTTTGACTTTTTTTCAGCCTAAACTTTTATTCCTGTCCTCTGTGATTCTTGTTTTTAATACTGTGATATCTCTACATTTTTTTTTCTTCTTAAAAGGTTGAATAATTAATGCTTCAGATGGAGCATCCCAAAACACTCTGCTGTCAAAAGTACCAATATTAGCTTGCCAAATGGCCTTTATTATGTGACATACTGCAGTGTTCTAAATAATCTGGAAAAAAACATTACACTATGTATCTTCCTCTGTCTCGTGTAAGTCTCAGCACAGCTGTTACGCAAATGCCAGCTAGGATTCACTTTTTTACTCTACTGTACAGTCTGGCGGTGTGCAACTGCTGCAGTAGAGATGACTTACAGATGACAAGCATGATTTTGCTCTGGTTTTGAAGAGGCTTTTGTTTAGATAACAATAATATAAGGTTATTGTTCTTCTGTAGATGGCAATAGTACTTGGACGCACAAGCTAAACATAGCCTTATAAAAGGACTCAAGTGTGCCTGCTACATTAGTATTCTAATGGCTAAATGCAACCATGTTGAAGCCAACAGTAACAATCAAGGAATTCCTATGTTGAAGAAGGAAGAAGAGCTATGTAGTGTCTTGATGGTAGATCAGCCATGGTCATTTAATGTGCTTTTAAATGCTTCTACTTATGACAAGCCATTCGTATTGACTTTCTTGAGTATCATAATATAGATGTTATTTTAATAGATACGATACTTCCCCAAAACTTACTGGGCCTAAGACTTGAGGTATTAGTGTAAAAATGTGTGTTTTTTTATCCTGTGATAATATTGCATTGTTTACTTTTCCTGTTGCCTCCTATTACCCTATTTATATCATTGCAGCTCCTTTATTTATATGAAATCTGCCCCAAACTCTCCTATACAAGATTCCTTTCCCTCTGCCTACTTGTATATCCACTTTCTGCTCTGTTTGTAGGAGGAAGCAGTCTGAGCTCTTAAGAGGTAGTAGTTGCTTTTGATGAATTATTTTAATAGTCTTTTCTAAGGAGGTGTGTGGAAGCATACCATTGTATTGTTCAGAATTATTTTCCATCTCCCCACAGCTTGCATTGTATACTATTTCTAATTTTGATGGGCCAAAATATTGGTCCTCTTTAGAAGTAAAGCATCTTCATGGAAGAAAATGGAGGTCATATTAGGAAATCAAATTTAGCCCTAAAAGTTTTTTCCTGAGGCCTTTGTGCCTTGTTACTGGCACCAGTAACCTACCTGGGTGGTTGCATAGCTGTGAACTAAAAATTACATTAAAGATCCTACTTTCTGTAAATTGTGGCATTCACTGAATACATATAGCAAAGATTTACTAGCTGTATTGAGCATGCTTATCCAAAATAATAATAAAACAGCTGCATGCTTCTGCCAGTGCTGTTAATCTGCCAGTTTTATATTGATGCTTGTAAGAAGATATGGATCATATAAAATCAATATCCTTTTACACCTGAACCTCTTAGTCTGTATTTTATCCCATAACTCTGTGTTCTCTCCTAGAGTGCATATATGTTCATAGATTATCCCCTCTTCCAAGTATCTGTTCCAAAGAATAGATATACATCTTGCTATCTTGTTTGAACATGCAATTAGTGTAGTAGCAGATGAGTGGTGTACCTTCTGTGACTTTGAGAAATAGTGGCCATTTATCTGAATGTGAAGGATTTAGTGGTGAGAAAAGGATCAGGCAGGCTGCCTAAGTCTTCTCTTTCTTTCAGCAGTTTAAACTTTTTTTCCTTTCTCTAGTGTATATGCTGATAAGGCATTTTTCAGCAGGTGCTTCCTTCCTATAGCATGCTGAATTGTCTAGCCTTTGGGACATAATCTTTTCTCCTCTCCTAGTGTTTCTGTGTCTCAACTGCCTTTGTAATTCCAGCAGTGATAGTTCCTAAAGAAATCTCTCTTACTGTGGCTTTGTTAAGCTGAGACAATCAAATGCATGTGACTTCTTATAACCTGATGAATGGGCTCTTTATGCAGCCCTAAAAACCTGTGCATGACTCTTTCCTTTTATACTTTAACCTGTCAGTGACAGGAGGTAAACAAAAGAACCATTTTCTTTGCCTTTATTCCAATCATCAGGCTTTAGTGTTCCTGAATGATGATTCCTTTCATGTAGTTGAGCTGCATTGTGCACTTGTTCTGTGTGGCACCGAAATGTACCCATGAAGTGGAGACCTGTTGCTCTGAAGTGTTTGATAACCTACAGTAAGGGTTTGGGAGGAGGTATGCATAGCTCTCAAGTCATCTGAATGGACAGAAGAAATTTGGGCAAATACTCATCTGGATTGCTTCTCAGGGAGCATGGGTTTTGACTTCAAGTGGAAATTACTTGACCTCTGACAAATTTCACAATACCTGCATGTAGCTACAAGAGTTTTTCTAGAGCATAAATACCAAAGTGACTTGAAGAAGAGAGACAGAAGGATGTTACAGATTTTCAGGTACAAAAGAAGAGTTTTAGAATAATTGGAAGGTGAGCAAATGGCTCGAGGCTTTTAACTTGAATCATAGAACTTACTCAAAGCCTTTTCTGTTACAGAAGTGTGTACATATTATCTACAGAAATAGACTACAAAAATAGTTTTGCTATTGACAGAAGGGCGCATGTAAATTCATGGAATTGTCAACTTGTCTTTATGGTGCATGCTATCTGAGTGAAAAAGATTTAGGTGATGTCTTGAAGGCCGAAGGTAGACATTTGAGCCTTAAGAATAGTCTTTCTGGAGCTGATATTCATAAATTCTGATTGCCTTAAATTTTTTCCTCTGTAGATGTACTTGCAAGTTTCTTGCTCACTTTGAAACCATTTAGCTTTATTTTCAATCTAGCATTTTAGTATTGGTGCTTGGAGTTATCATTAAAAACTTGGCATCTGCTTCTGTATTTGCCTTCTTCCTGCATTGCATTACAGGTTTTGTTGATAGAGGTTGTCTTCTGAGTGTGTATGGGAGAGGCCTGGCATAACAGAATTTGAGGGCCCACCAAAATATGTTTGCTTTTGTTTTAAAGCAGATTTTGTTCAAACATTGTTGTTCTGTAGACTTATTTATCACCTCTTCCTTTCCTCCATTTTTGCAGCTCTTTAGAAAGAATGTTATTTC